CCACCCTCAGGCACCTGGCTGCAGGAGGGCCTCAGTGAAGACTCCAGCTCCCAGACCACCATTCCCGTAACTAAAACCTGCAGGAGACAGATTGGAGAGGGGATGGGGTAGGGGTGGGGGTGGACAGCGCTGGAGAAGCCAGGGTGACCAGCTCATGGAGAGACAGGCTGACTCAGAGACCACCTAGAGAGGGCCTCTCATATCCTCCCACCTTCAGCAAGATAGCCCTGCACAGCCTTCTGGAAGCCTTCCCTGACTTTTCCCAGCCTTCTGGGCAGCTTCCCTTCCCACCTGGCCTCAGTCTGTCACTCTACCCTCACCTGAGGTAAGATCGCACCTGGCTCTGGCCACCATTACAGCTCAGTGCATAGTACATATGCGCTGGGTGATAAGGGAAGAGACCGGGAGACATGACCACAGGAGGGCTCGCAATGAAGGAGGTGACAGGTCATGCCCAAGATGAGGACCTGGGGGGCTCACCAACTTTCTGAGGTTTGAGGCCATCACCAAAGCCTAGGGTAGAGGAAACAAGGGTCAGAAATGGGGGTGTGTGTGTCAGAAATAGCCACAAGGTGGGGGGATGGGATGGGAGGGAGAATTCAGACAAAGGAGGGCCCCCTCACCCAGTTCTGCTCCTGGTCCATAGCCATTTGAAGGGTGGTACCCTGTGAGGAGAATGGAGATCAGTGGGGAGGGCCCACACTTTCCCAAGTATGGATCTTAGGAACTCAGAGAAGGAAGAAGGGACTCTTCCTATCCACAGGGAAAGTAATCAGAATAATTGAGTTTAGAAAGCAGTAAGAGAAAAGGAGGGTAGACTCAGGAGGGACCTTCCCGGCCTGAACAGCTGAGGCAGCTTGGGAATAAGGGTAATGGGGGAGTGACCCTGATCTGGCATGGGGACCAAGGCAAACAGACTCACACCTGCTTTCTGAGGTTTCAGTCCCCACTGGATGGCTGGAGTCGGTGCTAGAAAGAAAACCAAGGGACAGGAGTAAGCCCAGGGCCAGGCAGGTTGGGATTGCCACAGCAGGGCCTCCGGGGAGCTGCCATATTGGGGGTCACACGGGTCTCAGGGACAGAATTCAGGTTTTTCTTCAGCTGGCTCTCAACAAGCCTCAATCTCATTTGAAGAATGGGTATATGGGCTTCTGAGCAGCCCAGCCCGGCCCAGCCCCTCCTGGGACCAGGTACATCACTGTCCCCTCATTGCCCCCCCACTCCACACTGACCTGGGAACTTGCCATTCTGCACTGGGGGAGGGGGCTTGGATTTGGGGCCCCAGCCACCTGCTTTATCAGAAGGACCCCCTGGAGTGGGAAGCCTGGGAAGAAGCAATAGAGGAACCTTCCCACTGCAGGGACCTAGATAGGAGAAGGGAGAGGGCAGTGAGCCTAGACCAGTGCCTATTCCGGCTGCCTTCCTGGCCTGTCCTAGCCAATCCACCAGCCTGCAGTAGCTTGGGCACAGCTTCCAAGGTAGGGACATTGGCCAGGTCAGAAAAAGCCCAGTTCCTGCGGGTCACAACCTGCTCTAGGGACCAGGTGACCCAGCCACCTGACATGGTTCCTGCTACTTGCCCACCCAGCCCCAAGGCCTTCCAGTAATATCCCTCCCCACCCCCGCCCAACCCCCAGCCCCTGGGGCCTCACCTGACTGGGCCCCCAGCCCATTTCCATTGCCGTATCCTGGAAAGGAAAAGCAGGGATGTGAGGGATAGTATGGGGGGGTCCTGGAAGGAGAAGTAGAAGGAACAGGACAGAAAGAGGGGGCTCTCTCACTTGCCTGGCTTATGAGGTTTCATACCCCCTTCCAGACCTGCAGGAGAAACAGAGAGACTGCTTCAGAGGGGACCAGTCCCTCCCTAGGAGTGAGCCCTCTCTACCTGAGACCCTCATTGTACTCACCTGGTGGGAGCCCATTTCCTGGTGTGTATCCTGGGAGGGAGAGCAGGAATGAGGTCTGGGGCTTGGGGGAGGGGGGGAGACTTCAGGTGGAGATGGGCGAGGGCAGGGATGGGCTCACCTGGCTTTGGAGGGCTCATGCCCCCTCCTAGGCCTGGGGAGGAACAGATGGGGACTGAGTGACAGGTGGACTCCATTCTGCCCTCTTTCCCAGTACCCAACTCTTCACCCCATGGGACTACCTCTTCCCCTCCACCTCCCAGAACTCCAGGCCTGCCCTGCCTCCCTCTCCTGGCTGTCCCCGTCACTGGGGAACGCTCCAGCTCCCAGCCTATTCCTGTAAACTGGGGAGACAGGCTGGAGGTTGTGAGGGGGACAGGGTTAGAGGGAATAGACAGTTTCTGGAGACAGAAGAGGAGTGGGGGGTCTAATTCTGACACCAATTTCAATTCTGGGGTTTTTCTAACATCGAGCAATTTTCAGATACCAGCTGGGTGTCCTACAATTTAACTCAATTCTGACACTATCTACTTGGACATAGCATCGGATCCCACAGGCTAAGGGCTCAGTCCCACAATAATATTCCCTCCTCCCACTTCAGGTGCCAATTGCCAGTCCAGGTTGTCATCTGTGCTTCTGACCAATCAGCTATATAAATTGGAGGTTCCCATAATCCCCTCTTTGGGTTCAATTAATTTTCTAGAGTGGCTCCCAGAACTGAGGAAAATACATACTAGATCACAGGTTTATTATAAAAGGATACAGCTCAGAAACAGCCAAATGAACAAAATGTACAGGATAAGGTGCCCTGGCCAGTATGGTTCTGATTCTGTGGTCAGAGCATTGGCCCGCACACTGAAGGGTCTCAGGTTCAATTCCCAGTTAAGGGCACATACCTGGGTTGCAGGTTCAGTCCCAAACCCCGGTTGGGATGCATGTGGGAGGCAACCAATCAATGTGTCTCACATTGATGTTTCTCTCCGTGTGTGTGTGTGTGTATGTGTGTGTGTCTCCCCCCC